GATTTAACATCAAGGTATGGACAAAGGAGATGATAAGAGATATGATAATATGTATAATATTTGTTAATGCTGAGATTTTTGGATTATTTTTTGATTTTTATTGATTTGGGCCTGACCGGTTGGCTGTTGACAACAGAAAGCTGCTGAAGGTCAGTGAGTGATCATTTTCCAATCTATTCTTTCAGAATAAATCTACTTATCTTTAACATATGTCTACCCTGAGTGTGTTGTGGTTTGTGGGTGCAACATTTTCTTACATATTTGGAGGTCAAACTGGCGGCACTGATGCTGAAGAATGTGGCTTTTGACTCCGCTGCGACTGCTTTGGCCTTGTAAGAGGAAACAAAGGCTGTAATTCAACTGATAACACTGAGGCATGACTATCAACTAAATGCAAATAATGAAGCACAGTTAAATCTGAACTAATGTGTTAGCTGTGTTGGAGAGAACACTTAACTTACCAGCATGGTCTTTCCATTGCCAGGAGGGCCAAATAAAAGCAAACCACGTGCTGGAGCTCTCAGGCCAGTAAAGAGCTAAATAGCAAAATTTGAAAAGTGTTAAATATAAATCTGAAAAAGCAGAAATAAAGTGAGACAAAATTGTTGTAATCGATTACCTCTGGTCTTAAGGCAGGGAGGATGACAATCTCTTGGAGTGCTTGCTTGGCCAGGTCCTGTCCCGCAATGTCTTCGAAGGATACAGTCGCTCCACTGCAATGAACACAGAAAGCTATGTTAACTGTAATGAAGGTTTTCTTTTTGAATTTGCATCCCACTGACAGCAAACTTTACAAGTGATGTTAAAGCATTTCTTCTACATACTTGTCAACAATTTCATTCAGAATCAAGTTGGCCAGTTTGCTGTCCACATTCTTGAAGTTTCTCATATCCCTCTTCTGGGGCTGTCTCACAGTTGTAGGTTTTCCATTTTGAGCTTTTCCCACCCGTGGGGTCACCTGAGCAGGAAGAAAAATATCCAGAAAGCAGTGCATGCCTCATTAAGCTCAGACATTTTGGAGAAACATATGACTGGACGACTAAATATTAATTTAAAAATCACCTTTGGATCAGTGGATCTGGATGAGGGTCTGACAGCAGAGGAGGGCCTGATGTTAGTGGACACACCTCGCACTGCAGGCTGGCTTTTAGGCACAGGCTTTGGTTGTGGAAGAACATGGTTTGAGGTCTTCTGTGGATCACTCCTCCTTTTAGCTGCCATTGTTGCTTCTGTGAAACAAAAACAGCATTTATCTCCAGCACAGGTAACAATATCAATTTGTAAGTCTATACTTTAGAGTGTCAGACAACCTTATGAAACTTGCCTAATAAAGCAAGCCTATCTTTAGCCATGGTGAGATTGGTGACCATTTTATCTTGGAGTCTCTTTGCTCTGTCATAGTGCTCTCCTGGTAACAAAACATTGAGGTTATAAAGCGAAAGCATGTCACCACTGCACACTGTGTACATCCACATGTTTGTTTGCTTTTTACCTTGTCCCGTGATCTCTACTGCAATACCCTTTTCAAGCTCAGATATCCCCTTTTTGTACCACTGCACAGCCTCCTCTTTCTCTGCTGTTACCACAGGGAGGAGAGGGTGTTTATTACAAGCTGCCACAACACAACAGCTACTTATAACCGCTCATAAACACAAATAAACAAACCTGAATCATCTTCGTCGATCCTTAATGCCTTCGATACATACTCAAACGCCTGTTTATGGTAGTTTTTGATAACTTCACCGCTGTCTTTGCCTTTACTTGCCATTGTTTTGGCCGACATTACTCTCACGTTGCTGTCTCCTTGTTGTCAGTTGTAGCGCGGAGTTAGCCACTTTTTAAAGAGGGCGCTGTCAAATATTGCTTTTAAATAACATTTGTATCCGGGTCTATCCGACGTCTTTGGTTTATACAACAATATTTTGCCATATATGTGACAATAACTCTAGCGTCTCATCGCTTCAAAACACATTTCCACCTCTAGCTTCCGCTTTCCCGTGTGTACGCTTGATAGCAGTCCCCATATGGCAGTCCCTGCCCTCCCGTTCGGTTCCGGTGCCGAGCACAAAGTGTTTAACTTCCGCCTGAGTTTCAAAATAAAAGCGTGTTTTTTGTGTTTCATTGTATTTTATCAGAGATATTGGATGAAGCTTCATCCAATATCTCTGGTTTTATTTATTGTATACTGTTTGTAGTAGCCTTTCTGTTTTTAATGATGTACAGCACTTTGATTGAAAGCGCTTTATAAATACATTTATTATTATTAGTATTATTATACTGCGCATCAAAATGCAAATACATATGTTTTTTTAATTCACCTTATTTTTTTAATCGTGTTTTAATAAATCAATGTATAAACGTGGTTCTGCAATAACAGTGTAAAGGGGAACTTCACCTGCAAAATTCACACATGTTATTTCTATGGTCTAAAACAGTCCAAAATTTTTTAGTAAATATGAAAAACTCTCAAAGCCAAAAACTAGAGTGCTAAAACTCAAATGTGTGATGTCAAAGGGTATAAAGTGTGGAGATGCTCCACAGACAATGAATGGTGAAAGGTGTTCTAAATGACACTGAGAGCACCCAGGGGAATGTCCTGAGTATTTTGTGCATTTTCCATTTCAGAGCTGAGAACACTACAGTATAATAAAGTTCATTTGGGTATAAAAAGAAAATAAACATTCTGTGCTTTAACAAAATCAGCCTCCCATTCATTGTCTATGGAGCAGCTCCACACTTTAAAGCCTACCACAAGTTTGAAACTTTTTTCTCTGAGGGAGAGCAGCTCATGTTCACAAATATTGATTGAACTTTCCTTGGACATGGAAATAAAATACTGGAATTCTTAATTTAGATTTAAGAAGTGCACACAATACAGTTCCTTTTTCAATGCTGCTCCACAACCATATGCTTAAAACATTTCTTGAGACCCCATGCACATAATCATGAGAAATGGTTTTAGCCACACTGACCACAGTGCACTGTGTGTGCATGTGATTTTTGTGGGTAATACAGTACAACAATGTATATGACTTAATTCAAATACAATATAATATAGCTGTACTTGATTTGTGCATGATGTATTTGATCCTGGCCAAAAAATATGATCCATACCTCTGGCCGGAGATTACATTGATCATTTAAGACCAGCAGTATGACCTCTCGAAGGACATTTTACAAAAAGACAAGGGTCTACGTGTCATTGTGAGTACATGTTTCAAGCACCGACATGCACTTTGTTGGGCACTGAAAAGAACTGTACAGTGTGCACTCAATATAAAATGCTATTATTGTGCAACATGGTTCAATTTCAGGACCCCTAGAGCCCCAAAAAGATATACATATATACATATATATACATATATACAGTACAGACCAAAAGTTTGGACACACCTTCTCATTCAATGCGTTTTCTTTATTTTCATGACTATTTACATTGTAGATTCTCACTGAAGGCATCAAAACTATGAATGAACACATGTGGAGTTATGTACTTANTGATGATGATAGTGGATACTCTCCGATCATGAGAGTCACAGATTTCAGGAGCATATCCACTCCCAGTAAACTGCTACAATCTGGAGTTCATGTCATCCCAGGTACTGTAGATAGATACAAACTAGGTCTAAACATATGTTAGTGAGGTGTTAAAGCAGTCCCAGTGAATGTTTTGACATGGTATACTGAATGACATAAACTGTATACTCTTTTGAATGCAAAAGTCCTACCCTGAAGTCCTGCTATCAGGTTGTACTTTCCTTCTGTGCATTATATGTTGAAGCTGTTTATCTTCCATTTTTGTTTGAAACGCTTAAAGGCAGGGGGTTATTTTATCTCATGTGGTTTTGTGATTCAGATTCACAAAAGACTTGAGCAATTCAGTTTCTAGTTGACTGTGAGGGGTATGTCATGTGAGTCATTAAAGTGAAGCCATATTAGCTTGGAGCCTTGTTTTTAAGGCGTTTAGTCTACGGGGTTTTGCCTATCAGTGGGAAGTGATAGAATGTTTATTTACTAAGTTGTCTGACTCAGTCATGTCCACAATAAATTGGTGTGGAATAAGCAAATCACTGATGATATATTTTCACCCTTTGAGAATATAGAGATTTGTTTCTTTACAAAACTATGTGATACATTGTACAAGGGGCCTTTGTCTTGACGTGTTATCTTTATCCTCTCATGTGTTGCATTCCCCATCAGTCATGCCTAATTTTGTTTTTTATGCAAAGTGATCCATTTACAAATAAAACATCAAGACGCTAGATAGACAGTAAGTGTGTTTTTAGATGAGAAAGCATAAGCCCTGAGGAGACACTTTGCAGTTATCCTTTTTAACAGCCTTAAAGCTCTGAGACGACTCTCCACAACATTTTTAAATTACAGATAATCAGGGTTCTTTCATTTTATTACATGAATAAGATACTTGGGTGGTGTCTGGTTATTCAATACAAAATAATTTTCTTAACATTGTAAGACAATACCAGTGGTGGAGTGTAATTTAGTACATTTACTCAAGCACTGTGAGTAAGCACATATTTGAGGTACTTGTACTTTACTTTTTTTATTGCACTAAGAGCTTTTACTTTTAATACTTTAACTACATTTTCCTGGTTATACTTACCAGTGCTTGAGTAACAATTTTAATACAGGACTTAACTTGTACCAGAGTATTTTTACAGGGTAGTATTAGCACTTTTAATTAAGTTAAGGTTTGGAATACCTCTTCCCCCACTGGATAATACACTAAACACTACTTTTCTCTCATGAGAAGAGCAATGCATATTGACTGATGTGCTGTTGACAGTCCTGCTTCCTCCTGTCACACTGTACCCGCTCACCTGACGGGCAGCGCAATTCCATAATCAAACAATCTTTTTAGTAACGGCTACGCCTCCTGGGTTTTTCCACGAATCACTTTCTGCTCGTGAATGAAGTAACCAATCAAAGTGCTTTGACGTCACTGCAATAACGGTTTTAGACACACCCCTTACCTGGCTCGACAGACAAACAAGTAATCCTCTGATTCCGACTGTGACAGCTGTAGTTTCTGTCATTGCTCCTCTGGCTGTACTCTATTGGCACATTTCGAAGATTTTATATTTCGTGCCTTTCTAAATTTACATGATAACAACGCCAGACTGCCCAACAAACTGACGTTAGCTGCTCTCTCCGGCTAACTTATTAACCGGTAACAACACAACGGCCAGCTGACGGAACACTGAGCTTGTTAGCTAGCTAGCCCAGCTGTCTCTCCAGTCGAACTGCCCTTTGTCTTTACAAGCAAGTCAGCTCGCTGGCATCTTTTCTCCTTTTGGTTAGCTGACACCGGCTTTTGCATTTTTACTTTTTCTCGCCTGACAAAAGTCAAGCAAACCAAGATAGGCGGCTTGGGAACCAAGATGTCGAACCGAGTGGTGTGCAGAGAAGCAAGTCACGCCGGGAGCTGGTACTCTGCTTCGGGTAATTAACTGTCAACACAGCACCGTTAGCAAGCTGTATGCTAGCTGGGTGTTGTTGATTATTTTCTCATGTTTTATTGGTTTTATTGGCGATTCATTTAGCGTAACCTTCATTATCTTATGCTCGAATACTGTTGAATTCATGGCTTGCCACAGCAGACGGCGATGGCTAACGTTAAGGTTGTAACGGTAATCCATATGATGAAAAGTCGACTAGCTAACATTAGCTGGCACTGACTGCCTCATCTCGGTTATCCCATTTGGTGCATGGTTGGTTTGAGCTTATTCAGCACTTCCTCCTCGGGTGGTCGATGGAAATCTTCCAAAACAAACGGACATCTGCTGCTCAGCATTTTTGACAAGCAATCAAAGCTATCAATTTAACAATAGCTAACTTGGCTAACATTGCAGAACTTCCTGGCCTACCTGCTATCTGGCTACAATAGGACATTTCCCGACACAGCCTGCCAGCAGCAATTTTTAACTTAAGCTTCCAGTATAGTATATATAGGGTGTCTGACACTGACTCCTGTAAGTTAGGTATAGAAACACTCGCTGCCGTGAAACAAAGGACTGGGAAGGGCAGGGCAGAAAATTGAAGGTTCATGTTGCACCCCTTCCTCCATTTCACCAGCTAGCTGCTAGTTTCTGGTTATTAAACCCCTGAAGCCTGCCTGTTTATCCAGTCTAAGCTTGTCTTATTGCATTGTTTGTAACACCCGTTTTCGACACAACAGACACCAACGATATTTGCACTGCATATCAATAGTAATATGTCCATAAGCTACATGTGAAGGCTGAGCTAACGTTAATCTATCTTGATCCCCGGTGTCCTTGTTCGTTTTTACACGACTAATTACACCGGTTGTTTGTTTTTCCTGCAGACTTAATTATCTGAGTTATTCAGCTGTGTTTGATTGATGCTGACATTAGCAGCTTTGGACACTAGTAAAGATAAACACAGGTAGTCTGTCCTGTGACATAGGCAGTGTGTTCCAGTAAAGTCACTTATAGGGAGCCAGTTCAAAATTGATGTCATTTTTCATTGTGTAATCTGGATCAGAGCACAGTATGGTAGACACTATATTGACAGTCAATGATTGAGTGTTTTACCCTGAAAGACCTGGTTTATTGTTCTGGTTTATCAGCATTTCTCACCCAGAAAAACACAACACTTAATGACACGTTTAAATGAACCACTATTGTCACACTTGGATTTCACCCCTCAGGGATTATTACAGTGACATATTGATTTAAAAAAATACCTTGGTGTTATTGATCTATGCTTGTAGCTTTGCTGTCTATCAAATCTAGGGCTGCATCGATTAGTCGACTAATTGATGATTGACTATTAACATAATTGGTGACTATTTTAGTAGTCGAGTAATCGGTTCGAGTCATTTTCATAGAAAAGTACTATTAAAGTACCCCAAAATACTCTTATTGCAACGTCTTATGTTCATATATTGGCAGCTTTACACACTCTCCCATGACGGTGAACTAAAACCCTTCGGCATGAGTACGAAACAAGACATTAGATGACGTAATTTTGGGGTTTGGGAGAGACAGACCGACATTTTTCAACATCTTAACACATTTTTCGATAAAATGATTTGTCGAATAATCGAAGAAATAATCAACAGATTAGTCGACAATGAAAATAATCGTTAGCTGAAGCCCTAATCAAATCCTTTTTATATTGATCAGAAAATGTATGGGTTTTTTTTCAGCTCTGTATGTGCTCTTAGTCCTGTGAGGAAGCATAGCAAAAGTAGTATGTACTGTAGTGGTGGCTCCTCTTTATCGTACTGATCTGAAATCAAATTATTTTTCCCCTTTCCCCTACCTTTTCAGGATCCCAGCTGAACGCACAACTAGAAGGCTGGCTGTCCAAAGCAGAGTCCACGATCAGACCTGCTAGAGCCATCATAGCGCCGTAAGCACATGCCGACTACAATCCGAACATGTCAGATGGTATCTGTGGTGTCGTCTCACTCTAAATTGACATGTTTTTGTTTGCAGGCATGCTGGGTATACCTACTGTGGTGCTTGTGCAGCACATGCCTACAAGCAGGTTGATCCCTCTGTTACGTAAGTCATTCAGTTTTCTATCTCCATTTCCTTACACAAGAAAATGCTTTGAATGACTGTTTCTTATTGTAAATTTACCCCCTACAGAGTGAACAGATATGAGTTTAGATAGTAGAATATAGAGCTGGTGGTGTGTCTTTTGTGAATAGAGCAAGAGTGATAAAATTGTGTTGCCCTTCAGTCGTAGGGTGTTCATCCTGGGACCTTCACACCATGTGCCCCTCTCCCGCTGTGCCCTGTCACCTGCAGAGATCTATAGAACACCTCTCTATGACCTGAGAATCGACCAGAAGGGTATTCACAATTTTCACTCATGATAATGTGATTTCTGCTTTTTGTGTGTGCCGCTCAGTCTCAGATGTTGACACATGCTAAGGGGTTAATCAGGTATCTTAGGGATCATGTAAGGGAGTAGCATAAACACAGTTTGGATCACAGTTTTGGTTTGTTAAGTGTAGAGTGGTGTGCACGATTTATGCTGAAATCAAAATGAAACAAACACGCTTTTTTTAATCATTCTGGATCATTACACTAAAAAAATGTGAAAAACAAAATAACCATTAAATTAGCCTTTCTTCATTGTGATTGTTTTAGTCTAGCCTGACTAGAGCTCCCACATGCAGACCTCAAGCAGTCTTGGGAGGTGATATACTTTTAATCATCCTCCAGGGACCAGACAGTTCCCCCATTATTAAGATAAAGGCTTTTTCAATTATGAGGTTTTGCTCAGCTAAAAGCTTAAAAGGATACCCAATTTAAATGCGTGTGTAGCTCCAAAAATGACTTAATCAGTTGACATGTTCATGATAACATGCACAAATTAAAGTGAAACTCACCTCTGTTTTACAGTTTATGCCGACCTCTGGAAAACTGGGTTGTTTGAGCGGATGAGTCTGCAGACAGATGAAGATGAGCACAGTATTGAAATGCACTTGCCTTACACTGCTAAAGCCATGGAGAGGTAATGCACACAGGAGTGGCGCTGACCTAAAGAATAAACACTATACAGTGCACATCAAAGGGAAGGGTGTCATGGAGTGTAGCTTTTTTATCTTTACATTTAACTTGTATCCTTGAGCTCTAACAACTTAATTAATCTCCTTCCTCATGAAACATTTGCAAAGCTGATTTAAAAAATTTCAGATTCTGCAATGTGTACATTTATGTTTACTTACTGGCAGTCTTCTTCTTCCCTGTCTTCTTGGCGCATTGCAGCATATTTTAGCATGTTACAGTCACCTGTAGATTACTGAGTGTGAGACCATTTGGCAGGAATGTGTATCGCGCTATTTTGGTTTTGTTCATTCTTTTTGTTGCCCCTCTATACATGCTGTAAACCAGAATAACATTGGGTCAGGAACACATGGAAAGTGTGATATGCATAATTGATACAGCCTTCTGTTAGGTTGGCAGGATTCAAAGGCATTTTATTGGTTCAGAAAAGCAGGGATCAGGTAGTATGAAGTGAAGCAAGCACATTACCTCAACACATATTTAACATTTAAGTTTAATTAAAGGACAACTTCGATATTTTTCAACCTGGGCTCTATTTCCCCATGTGTATGTGTGCGTATAATTCATGGGTACCACTCATTCTAAAATTGGTTCAATATTGAGCCGCGAAACGAGCTAAAACGGCAATGGGGGCAAATGTGTCCCGTATAAAAGTGCTTTTTTTTGCCACTGACCGGTTCAGATCGCCAGTGTTATCTCTGTAAATAGCATATTGTAGCGGCCCTGGGGCAGTGGTGAGGGTGAATGAGTGGAGTCAGCTGTCAGTGTTGGAGCAGAAAGGCGGAAGGCGTCCCCGCTTGGTAATGTAAATGAGTATGTGTGTGTGAAGTATCTGTTACGCGTCAGAGGACAGAGTCTTTTACGTGCTACCCTCTGGAGTGTTACCGGAGTTTTTGGAGCGCTCAAATAAACAGGCCTTTTTCATGAACGCAAGAACAGGATGTTGCGCAACACCCCGTACAGCTTTCACAGGCTGCCTTTGTCGGACGGCGAGATGCTGAAGTTGTGGCTAGTTGTGCTACAAATGGATGCTAACACTCCTTTCCAGACACTGCGCCTTGCAGACCATCGGGTCTGCAGTGCTCACTTCTCCCAAGATGACTACTGCCAGCCAAAGAAGAGAAGACATCCAATCCCGAAACACCTCTTCCTCAAGAAAACGGCTGTCCCACGAGTAGAGAGAGCTACAGACACAGTGGAGCAAAGCTTGTGACATCACACAGCCCAGAGGTAAGGGAGAGGCTAAGTTAGCATGCTATTTACAGAGATAACACTGGCGATCTGAACCAGTCAGTGGCGAAAAAACACACACTTCACACACACATACTCATTTACAATACCGAGCGGGGACGCCTTCCGCCTCTCTGCTCCTATACTGACTGACAGCTGACTCCACTCATTCACACTCACCACTGCCCCAGGGCCGCTACAATATGCTATCTACAGAGATAACACTGGCGATCTGAACCGGTCAGTGGCGAAAAAAGCGCTTTTATACGGGACGCATTTGCCCCCATTACCATTTTAGCCCGTTTCGCAGCTCAATACTTAACCAATTTTAGAACGAGTGGTACCTATGAATCATATGCACACATACACATAGGGAAATAGAGCCCAGGTTGAAAAATACCGAAGTTGTCCTTTAAAACCTGTGTGTTGACTGATAAGAAGCATTAGTGACATAGAAGGTGCATATTGGGTGTAAAGGTGGAACCCACTAGTGTCAAGTTAAAGCAGAAGGCTTCAGTGTTTCCAAGTGTTAAAAGAAAATTTCACCCACAAAATTATCATTTGTATAGCAACTACTCATTCTCTTTTGTGATGAAAACAGTTTTTTTCTTGCATGTCTCTACGGTGAACAAATAATCCAAAAATGGAGAAAACTGACATGAAGTAAAAGGGCAGCTGCTTAAACAACAGCAAAACTATATTAGAATGTTTGTCTAGAAACTCTCACAAAACTGCGGCAGTAGTGTTTTTTAATAGCAAGGTTTTAGCAAAAATGCATGTGTTTGGGAAACACTGAGCACATGACTGGGTAAATGAGACTTGTATTATACTGCACACGTTGTGTGAGAGTTTGTAAATGGATGTTTTGTCACAGTTTTGCTGTTGTTAAACATGGTCCCCCTTTACTTCAATTCATCAAGAATGTTTTTTGGATTCTTCGTTCACAGTAAAAGCGTGCAAGAAAAATGAAGTTCCTTGCCGAATTTAAAGAAACTTGGGATGAGTAATTGATAAACAGATGATCTTTTTGTGGGTGAACTCCTCCTTAAATGCAGATTTGTCAGATTTGATTTTAACCCGTGCCCACTGGATAGAATTTTGATAGTGAGGTGCAGTTGTTGTACTCAAGTTGTTAACTCAATCATCTGATGTTACAGCCACAAAGACGAGTTTAGCATCGTCCCTGTGCTTGTGGGTGCCCTGAGTGAGTCCAAGGAACAGGAATACGGGAAGCTGCTCAGCAAGTACCTGGCAGACCCTTCCAACCTCTTTATTATCTCATCCGACTTCTGCCACTGGGGTAGGTACTGACAAATAAAAGCACCGAAAATGACACTCAATCTCTGGAAGTCTGCTGCTATTGAAAATATATTTTGTTATCTGGGGATAATTCTGCCTAAACATCACAATTGTGATGTGACTGTACAAACCACATAAAAAATAAACAAACAGATCTGGCTTACCCGGTCTCGCAAAACCTGTTAATCCCTGTGACATTCAGTGGTTCACTCTCTTATTTTGTTATTGACATGTAAACATTGTCCATTTCTCCCATTTCTTTTGACATTGCTGCTCTTGAGCTCCGTTCCTATAACAGTTCCAAATCATATATTTCATTCACAGTTTTCAGCCTTTCATCTTGTGTTGGTGGTTCCGCCTTGTACCATCTCTTCATGACAGCCTTTTCACAAGCTGCCAGCAAGACTTTCAGTAGATACTGTCTTTTCTTAGCTCAGTTTCTCTTGTCATGTTGCCAAAGTACAGTACTATGCACAATCTAGGTATATCATAGCCCACAATTTTGATAATCAAATGAACATTTACTCCATACTGTACAATTTCAGGACAGAGCCAAAATACATGGGCATGATCCAAATTTATTGCCTCACATCTTTTCCAACATGGTTGTGCTGTAGACAAGTATTTGCTTTTAGTTTGGGTTGTAATAAAGACTTTAATTATGTTCCTCCAACAGTGCTTCCTCAAAGTACGAGAGGATGTTGATGATGGTGTTCTCCAAATATGCAACCATTCATCTTCTGTAATATTCACATCTAATTCTTTTTCCCATATCAGCTTTACACAGTGTTTCCTCTTCTTTCTAATAGATGTTGATATAGTGAAGTTATTATTCTATATTTATTTTAAATGTAAACTTCAATTATGGTTCTAATTATTCAATTTTCATCCTGATTTATATTATGCTTTATTTCTCTGACATAAAAGTCCCTCAGTTGGAAATATCCGATGTGTTCCTCATTGTTTAATGTATAGTTTTGTTTTAGCTCCTGGAAACTCACAACATTCCCATCTTTTGGAATCCATTGTTTGAACCTTTGATCAAGAGTGCCCGGTATAAAATGTTTATCATATTCTGTTCATTTAAGTAGTTTGAGCTCTTTCGCTAATCTATATTTTTGTACTAGGTTAAACCCCAATTCTAACGTAGATCTAGTGACAGCATCTACCAGCTGAAGTAAATCCTTTGCTACATCTGTCTCCAGTGAGGCTTTGAATTTCCCTTCCTTGTGCATATCGCTCTAGATTTTTGCATTTTGCCTCATAGTCCTTACCACACCAGTAAATTACTTGTCTAAATTGCGCTGCATAGAAATTATCCTCAAGGTTTGGCAGTGCCGTACCCCCTCTACATTTCCCAATCTGTACTTTGTCAGATTTGACTCTTGGCCTTCATTTCCATTTCCATTCCATATAAACCTTGAAATAACTTTTTCCCAGGCTTGAAATTTTCCTTCAGGGATATAGATTGGTAGTGACTGAAAAAGTACAAGAGTCTTTGAAGTGTGTTTATTTTTTAACTGAAATCCAGTGAAAAAACAACCCACCTCTCAGTATCCTTCCCAATGTCCTCATCCACTGTGATATAGTTGGCTTTATATAGCTCAATCACTTCCTCTTACTAAAGTGACCGCTAAATGTGTAAAGTTGTATAATTTTGGTTGGGTAATAATTAAATTTGTTAAATTTGGGTTTTAGCTAAGTTCAATTAGAAGCCAAACATCTCAAATCAATTGGTTAATATAGGAAGGCATGTATTGGTGTCCTCTAAATAACAGATCACATCATCAGCATAAAGCCCAATTATGTGCTCCTCATCCCCAATGCTTATCCCTTTAAGGTCTTTATTCATGATGTCCATTTCTCTTTTTAAGGTCAACGGTTCCGCTACACATATTATGATGAATCTCAAGGGGAGATCTACAGGTCTATCGAGCATCTTGATAAAATGGTAACCACAGAGATATATTTGATTCAAATGCGAGATCATTTGTGAAATGAAATATGTGAAGATGATCATATGAGCCAGCCTCATTGTATGAAGAACGTGTCATTTTGGATACTTTGTGCTCGTAATGTGAATTTTAACCTTAAAGTAAAGTAAGTTAAAGTACAGAAGAGCAGAGAGGATATAGGTGTAGATTTTTCTTTTGCTTTCTTGTGATCATAAAGATTGTTTTCTCGAACACTTGCTTTCCTTGAGATCAAAAAATAACCAAGTGTAAATCAAACTAATAATGATTACATGCATTGTTTTCTCTGTAGGGGATGGGCATTATAGAACAGTTGGATCCCATGTCTTTCACCAACTACTTGAAGAAGTACCGCAACACCATTTGTGGGCGTCACCCGATTGGAGTGCTTCTAAATGTAAGTACCACAGAAGAAGAGCCTCACCAGGAACCATACATTTGTTAGTGAAGACATACACCTCCTGTCATTAGAAAGAGAAATCCTTGTTGCCTGACAATGGTCTGCTGATGTTACTGTCTTGCAGGCTGTGGCTGAGCTGAGGAAGTCTGGTTTAGAAATGAACTTCACTTTCCTGAACTACGCCCAATCGAGCGAGTGCAGGAACTGGCAGGACAGCTCCGTGAGTTACGCTGCCGGGGCCCTCATCGCTCATTGAGGTCGACTTCACAGGGGCCACTGCAGCGCCGCCGCCCTGCCCTTACTATCTATCGCCATAACCTGACCCAGACACCCTCCCTCTCACCCCACCCACCCCGAGTTACACCCACTATTTGCAGGAAGGACCTAGACACTCAAAGCCAATACAGTCTTCTTTCTCTGTCTCTCCCTCAGCTCTCCTCCGCCTTTTCTCCACCCTCCTCTCAGTTTGAAGTGTGTCTCAGAGCTTTTGGTTGAAATATTTTGCTTGAAGTGCAGTTTTGAGATTATGTAGGAGCAAATGGTCAGAGGAGAAAGGAAGAGTGCGTATTAATTTGGCTCGGAGTAAGCGTCGGGAGGGGGAAATCTCATTTGGGTTTAGTCCCATTTTGTTTTCCTGACAAAAATGATGGATTTGAGTTGTGATGATGCAGTCTTTACATTTGGGCTCTTGGCAAACTGCTCATGTAATTTGCCTCAGAAAAGGTATGGAAATAAAACTGCAGATCTTTATGAAGCATACTGAAATTTTGCCAGATGAAAATGAAATGAGTGTTTTGACTGACTGCTTCAAGCTACATGCGACTTTAAAACTTTGAAAACAGTGTCATCGGTAATTACTACCATTGCTCAACATATGTTGTAGTTGCTAACAAAGGGCTGCACCCAACAAAGTTCACTAACCCCCTACTGTACAAAACCAAAAACATTATTACTCAGTTTATAAAATATTATCTTTTATTCATATTTTATTCCTTTTCATTTCTCCCTTTTTTAAGTAGTTTTATTAGACGTGATAGTATTTACTCAAGTAGTGTGTAGATTTGAACTAAAGCAGTGTTGTTGGTGAAGCTCTAAAGCCATCCACATGGTTTGCCCAGTAAATTAGTGTGTGCAACACTGCTTCCAGATTCCAATTATATGCCTGTAGCATTATATATGTTTTGCGAGGGCCAGACTCCAGTTGTGGGTGCTACAGAAATGTAATCAAAGCTGGATATTGTGTAAATTACTCCAACAATGACACCTCTGGTCTTTGTTTACATTTGCCACCTTGAATCTCTGTAGTTGTTGAACTGAACAAAGATTTCTTTTTTTTTTTAATTAGACTTGTAGAAAATGTCTTTTGTTACACACTCAGTTCTGTAAGAGCAGCAAAGCTTTTGTTTTGGCCTGAACAAAGAGGTAAAGGTTGAGATGATCTGCTGAAATTGTTGGAACTGTTATTGATCTGTTCACTAGGTAGTAATTTACAACTCTTTGTATGAATATGTTTTGTTTTAAAGGGATAGTTATGATTTTTTTTGAAGCGGGGTTGTAGAGGGTACTTGTCCACAGTTAGTGTATTGCATATAGGAAATGTCAGACGGCACGCCCCCAGTTTAGAGAAGCAGGCTCAAGTCTCACAAGGAAGCTAAGGAATCTATTGCTGTGAAGGGGTTAGCAATGAAACCTATTCCAGCCACCTAAAAAAATGTCAGTTCAAGTGTTTGCTATATTGATAGTATTTTCACTGCTTCACTTTAATGTCACACAGCAATTTCCAATGGGAAAATTAAGCTGTCATATTTTTCTCTTCAAAGCCAGACTCCATTGTGTAAAACTCTGATTTGACATTGCTGAACATGGGAGCTGCTGATGTAGTGCTGCCTCAATCAGATATTTTGTGTGTGTTATTGTGTGACTTCGGTGTTTAAAAGGGTCAGTTGTGATTCACGTAAGTCACACAGTCATACAAACAAACTAACTAATCGAGGCAGCAGTAGACCAGCAGCTCTTGTGTTTAGCAAGCTAAAATTACTGTTTTTTTTTTCCAGTGGAGTCTGGTGGCTTTAACAAAAGCATGGATGGGGAACAGAAGCCATTAAAGACCTCCCTGTTGAAACAGGCTGTCTGACGAAAGACCAAGTGATGAAAGTACTCTCCATAGCATACATTTTAGATGGTTAAAATACATTTTGTTACCAACAAACAGCCAACTGACATTTACTGTACGTATTTCACTGACTATGGATAAGTATCCCATACAACTCCACTTCAACCAACTCAAAAAATCTGAACTGTCCCTTTAAGAATGCCAAAAGTTATTGGGAAGATATAAGTCATCCTTTTTTAAGGTTTTCTAGTTTTGCTGCTTCTGAGTGTACGAGAATTCACTTCAAAATCACTCTGGAGGCTGTAGAAGTATCAATAAGACAAGGTTAACTAAAACTAGTCAGACCAGAGTTTTAAGATCAGCACAAAGTCATAATGCTTTGCTATAAGGTTTAAGAATCTACCCGGATGTTGCTCCCTGCTGTATTTTGGAATATATTAAAAATGAATTTTTGCTTTATGAAATGTCCAGCACGAGGATCACAATAACTAAAGAAAAGGCGTGTTTCCTTTTCAGAGTAATATGCTATGTAGTCCTGCTGCCTGAAATACTCCTAATATTTTCATAGATTAACAAACTAAGCTGAATGCAGAAAGCAGATGATTCATAGTGGCAGTATAGGCTTTTAATGACAGTATGATATAGGCAGCACACAGTGTCTGCTGTCCTGTCGTTTGATATATGAATATCACTGACTGACTTTTACTGATGCAGTCCTCTAACCTTGGTCCGTCCCTCTCGGGCACTACAAGAGGCATTGCACCTAGCATTAAGCTACGTTTGGTTGAATCAAGTGGGCACAGACTGAAAGATGAATCCTCAGACTCACTCGACCTCTGACGCTAATTTAAGGGAAACTAGTAAAGCATGACACACTGTGCTATTGTGCCTTTTATCACTGTTGCACATATACATATAAAGCGTATTCTCACTTTTAGTCTTATTTTAGAATGTGTACTTTCAGTTTCTGTTTATCCACATGTACCCTCCTCCTCGCCCAGTGCCCTAACAATGTCTCCAGCTCACCCAGCACTCCAGGAGTGTGTGTGACCAGTCCTCCCGCCTCATCTGTTGGTCTAAAATGGCACCAACTGTTATCTCCTTTCTCCAGCAGGGAGTGGTGTTCTCTTTTCTCCACCTCACCTCATTCCTGTAGAGAGACAAAGGCTGAACCTCAACACTGTTTATTTTCTTTTTATGGATCTTTGTTTTGTCTTTTAGAAATTGTTTTTGTATTATTATTTTTTTCTTGCTTAGAGAATGGGAACTCGTCACAAACCTAAAATATACTACTTAACTACTCCCTAAATGGAGTTTTTTTGATCTCAGGTTCCACTGACAAAGCATCCCAAAAGGCTCTTCAGATAAGGCCGTGGATTCATGTTACAAAACAAGTAAAATGTACTGAAAAGCATGTCTGCTCTGGTGTCTTGTTCTTCACGTATTTACAATCACACAGAAACCTGTTGACTTGGTGTATGCATTTCATTTTTTGAATCACTGGTGTTAATGAATATGTAGTTTATTTCCTTGAGGTTGCAATGGATTGGTAGACTCTAGTGTGCAATTTCCATCCTCATATGGTTGTCAAACATGTAACAGCACAGCACTGCATAAATACCAATGTAGATATCCTGGGTAAAATATACAGTACACCTACTATGTGTATCCAGTGTCCATTTGCAGTACAGTAGAGACTGTCAGGAATGTCACCAGCAGAGGGAGCCAGGTCAAGTGATGGGAGGATTACAGTAAAATGGACACAATGTGCCTTCATCTCTACATCTCGACACTAAAGACTTGTACATTCTATGTATATATGCTCAGTTGCCAGTTTATTAGGTACACCTAGCTAAATCTAACGCAGCCTAATACAACACTTCCACATCTTTATGATTAAACTTAATGATCATTTTTGAGGATGTAATGGTGCTGTTCAACTGCACTGCAGTGTATAAAGAGGTTTCTATTATGTCTGTTATTTTACTTACACCAACTGTTATGGCTAGAGTGGACGAAATAATAGAAACAGCCAGTATAACACAATCCAATTCAATGGCAACACAAACTCCAAAATGATCAGAGGGTAAAGGTCCAGTGTGGCGTCTAGCGGTGAGGATTGCATATTGAAACCAGCTGAAACGTTTCCTGGTTAGACTTCCTTCAGTGTTCATTTTCAGGAGGTTTCACTGCGAGACGAATTATCCAGAGAGGTCTCCTCTTCTCCAAGACAAATGGACCTGGTGATTTAAATTGGCAAAAACATTGAATAAAGCAGTTTCATGTTACAAGTCGGTGTTTCCCCAATGCTGTTTGGTTCTCTTGAGACAGGCCACTAGCCCAACACCTGCTAGTCTGCGCTCACCTTTTTATCCTGGTAGTTTAAGATCCAGAACCTGTTAAGAGGGTTTTTACCATGAGCCAAGTTATCCGCAGAGGTCTCCTCCTCTCCAAAACAAAGGGACGTGGTGACTTAAACCAGTAAAAACACTGAATAAAGCAGTTTCACATAAGTAATATAAGTGTTTTTCCGACCCTCTCATGCGGATGGCCCTGTCCAGAGCCAGTGTTTGATTTGTCCGTTCTGGGACACTGTAGAAACTTTCGGTGCATCATAGCCATCTCTGTAGACAAGGCCCTGCTTCCTATGTAGCTATAAGCGGCTCATTCTAAGGTATCAAAAATAATAATAATGATAATAATAATACATTTTATTTATAATGCCCTTTTCATCAAAAGATATCAAAGTGCTACAAGTTAAAAACAAGAAAGATAAAAAAAGGAATGGAAGAGAATAAAAACAAAATGAGCAAAAACACAACAATTCTTATTTTCAGATGATTATACACTAAAAAAACCCACTAATTATATTTAATTTCTGCCGATATATTCCCCTAAATCCCACACACTAGTTCTTTAAATCAAAACCTCTTTAAAGGGACAGTTCACCCCCAAATTCTAGACATTTTTGGTGTGAGTTGCTGAGTGTTGGAGATATCAGCCGTAGAGATGTCTGCCTTCTCTCCATTATCATGGAACTAGATGTCACTCAGCTTGTGGTGCTCAAAGCACCAAATACATAAATAAGTAAATAAATAAATTTGATAAAGGAAATCATGACCCAGTTACTCAAGATAATCCACAGTTGTACGCTCTTTCATGTAGGAACTATTTTCTGTCTACCAAACTACACCTTAGAACCATATCGCTGCACAGAGGGAAGAAAGCATTGTCACCTTCAGGAAGTTAGGATGTATTGCAGGACTGCTGCATTATACTGCGTTAATTTTAGCAAGGTACTTGTGTATACTGACACAAAACTGTCTCAGATGATGTTACTCTGTAAATTTGACCTACTTTATTTCCAGCATTTCTACCAATTCATCACTTTATTTGCTCTGACCACTGACGTCAAACTACTAACAGGATAATTGACTTAGTTAAGAAAATTGTGTTAACTACAACTGAAACAATAATTGCAAATGACACAAGAAACATAACATAACAATGAGTCTATTTAACAGAATATGTTGGTGACTTGATGGATATGTCAGACAGTATTTTTTAAGTTGTCATATTGTGCTTAATCACAGCTCACAAACACATGTTATCCTTCAGTAATGCTCAGCTGCAGGTAAAATGTTTTCAACAAGTCATGAAGACAAGCTGGTAGTCGGATCAGGAAGAACAGGTTACTGCTCTGTGAAACTAGAGTAGCACAAATGGTTTTAGTCACTGTATTTAGACTGGGATCATTGGGCTCAACATCACGAATACATTACTGTCAATGTTGTACTCTAATTATCTCTTAAAACTACACTGGGTTCAAACCACAACCAGAAGAATTTAAAAACGTGTTTGAATGCTGTACTAAACTCCCTCTGCAGAATATGTAGTTCAGGCATGTCTGGTTATGATCCCTGAGACTACAGATAGACAGATTTACAGTAATTATGTAATCAGCATTTGTGACTGCATCTTGACTTTGCCTCAGTCCATGTCTAAATGTGTCACTTATTCCACCCACTCACTGGTAACAAGAGGAACTGGAAAAGCTTCATTTAAAGTCAGTAGCTCACTCCGAATTTCCTGACACACTAAAGTTAAAATCATAAATACAAACACAGCTATATCATTTGAGTTTGGGGCAGATGTTGCTGTGTGTGTCTGTATTCAGGATGGATGGGTCAGGGCAGGTTCAGGCAAGGGACTTTGGTTGATTCAGACCAAAACAGATTTCTAGCAGCTCACCTCAGACTGATTATAATGCTCCATGAAATTGTGTTCACTCCAATCGTAGCTTTGGAAAATTCAACATTCCAAACTCAGCGCACACACAACATACAAAGGTGGAGTCCTGACATCACCTCCAGCAATTTTGTACCCACTGTGAAAAAGGGCACACTGGCATTTTAACAGGCTTACACGCCTGTGTTTACTTTGGGAGGAGTCAGACAGGCTGTTTACATCCATTTAACTTCATACACACACTTTAGATCAGTTACAAGAGGTAAGGATTTCTCCAACACTGCAAGATGCACTGCCATGGGGACTTAGCATTGGGATGATCCTGACGGGACTTTATCAGCTCCTTCCATTACAGGACGACACAGACCTGCTGTGGGCACCACATGGGACACTCTCCTCCAGGTAGGATGGTCCCAGCCAGAGTAGCCTGGTTCTTCCAGGAGATGACAGCTTTCCTGATCCCTCTGTTTTTAATGCTCACTGTGCACAAACCTTTCAGCACAGGGGGGTACCTGCTGCTCCGGACCTTTTGCATGCACTACTTTCAGAGGTAAAAGCAAAGACAGTAGCTGGGTTTTGGCCATTTAAATGTGTGTGTGAGGTAAAGAGTGAAGATGTACTTTGTGCTTCGTTAGTGTCTTTGGAGCTGTGTGTAAGACAGTACACCCCAATTCAAAAATACAAGTCACATTTTACTTTCAAATTAGAGTTGTCACACTGTTTTGATGAGCTTTATAGTTTTATTCTTATAGTGTTTCTCATATTTACTAAGATATTTTGTCTCATATTTATTTAACCTGTTTAATATCAACATCAAATGTTAACTTAGTGTATGAATACTCAACAAGTTAAGAATTCATCATGGACCATGGATGAATGTAATTAAGTACATTTACTTAGCCTCTGTATTTAAGTACAATTTTGATACTTTGCTTAAGTATTTTAATCTTTTTGCTACTTTATACTTTCACTCCTCTACATTTTGGAAGCCAGTATTGTATTTTTACTCTACTACATTAAATTTAGAACATAAGTTTATCATTTGTTTAATTAGTTATTGCATTTTGTGAGGCACAATCTTATTTCTGTGAGGTGTTATTTCAAATACAATTCTTATTATGATTGCAAAATTGGGGAAATGTTCACAGTTCATCCAGAATTATAATTCAATAATAGAATAGCCAATATAATATTCTGAAATGGGCCTTTCTACAGAATGAGCATTTTATTTTTTGTTCTTCGTGTATTTTGATGCTAGTTGTGTTTCTGTTGTTGTTTTTTGTGTTACTATTTTCACTTAAGTAAAAAATCTAAACACTTCTTCCACCACTGATCATGGATCTAGCTGCATTTATTACAATAATTTCTCTCCATATTAGTTTATTATACGCAAAACAAACAGAGTATATTTTTATCCCTCCACACTGGTAATGGTGTGGGCCGATGGCATTATGTTTTTGGGATGTCTGTCCGTCCATCCATTGGTAATTTTCTTCAAATTTGGCACAAACGTCCACCTGGACTTAAGAATGAACTGATTAGAATCTGGTGGTTGAAGGTCAAAGGTCACTGTGACCTCACAAAACATGTTTTCAGTCATAACGTAAGACTGGTGGTGACTTAAACCAGTAAAAACACTGAATAAAGCAGTTTCACATAAGTAATATAAGTGTTTTTCCGACCCTCTCATGCGGATGGCCCTGTCCAGAGCCAGTGTTTGATTTGTCCGTTCTGGGACACTGTAGAAACTTTCGGTGCATCATAGCCATCTCCGTTGAAGGTCAAAGGTCACTGTGACCTCACAAAACATGTTTTCAGTCATAACGTAAGAATTCATGCATTAATTAGAACAAAATTCACAATTTCTAAAAGGATAAAATTATGAAGTTGTTACATTTTATATCCAAAAGGTCAAAGGTCAACTTCACTGCGACACCATAATGTTCTGTATAAAACACTTTTATGGCCATAACTCAGGAACATAAGGGAGGACGTTTGGTCAAACACTGAATTGTTAGTTAGTTAAACTTCCTGTTCTTAATGTACTGTAATGATGATTGTTACCCATCATTTTGTACTTGGCAGAAAACAACAAAAATGTGGTATCATTTTTCATCATCATGTTACGATTGTGCCTATAGATACCACAGTTGATGTGCAGCTTGTTTTCAGCCACTTGAGGTCAAAGCAAGTAGCCAAGTAAAAAAAAAAACAGTTTTCAGATGAGACACTGAAAAATGATCTTTGGAAAGGTGAATTCCTGCTATTATAATCAGAAGGCTAAATCACTGTGAGGAACGTGTCGGTAACCTCCCATGCAGTGAGGCGCTTCATGGCGCCTTTGCCTGCACTTAAATGCTAAATAATTTGTGCAGAATCTCTCCGCCTGGCTGTAATACATGTTCTTATCCATGTATGTACCAGCACGGATAAAATGCAGTACAATCCCCCTCCTCTTTCCACCTGCTGTACCTACTATGTCTCCACCAATCATAGGACATTTGTCTATTCACCAGTGACCAGAGGAACACCGTCCCCACTGGGTGTGATGATGGTAGAAGTTAAATTCTGCTCTCTAGATGGTTTCCTGCAGGGAGACTTCCTGCTACACTGTGCCCAGTGATGATGGATGGTCAGCTGACTATCACTATAAAACTGGTAGGGGCAATATTTATAAGCCCTAATAAATTCTATTATCTTACATGCCTCATACATTGGAAACTTTAAAAATGACTAGCTTTTTAAAAGTCAGTAACATACAGATTTTCTTCCACGGTTACTGCTGTTTCACACTGGAGTGGCTATCAGCATACACAGTGACTGTATTCGACGCAACTTGAGGAAACCAGGGAAGTGAGTGTGTAAAAAAGTGTGTATAAAAAAGATCCCGTAGGTCTTATGATAATGTTTCTGATGAGAAACTTACTTGAAATAATGTCTGTCATTATTTTCATATATTAAATGAATATTTTTTGAGAACATCATTACTTTGAAAATATCATTATCAGTATCATTATTTTGAGATACCAGCTCATTATTGCAAGAAAGTTTCTCATTATAATGACTTACAGGATTTTTTTCAATCACACTGGCAGACACAGGCTTCCATAATTAAGACACAGAGCTCACACTTGGAGACACCTCATGTGCTCTGTGCTTGTAGGGACCTGTGCTGTCCTTCCTGTCATGCAGGAGGTCTGTTTGAATAAGTGCCTGGTGCCAGCTACTTCAGCGAGATAGTGGAGAGGTGTGGCTCTGCTCTCGCCACCTGGTCCCTTCCTGCACACGCCTTTGCTGTGTTTAGCCTGGGTTTTATTGGCTCAAGAACCTATCACCATCGCAGGTGTCTAATATGAAAAGTCAGGACACAGTATACTTGCATGTCAAGCTACCTACATTAGCATATGCTATTTCTGAGTGACAGCTGTTATCTAATGCTCCTCTGCTACAGGTTTTAGCAAGAAAAATTCAAAGACTATCCAAAGTTAGGAAAGGCTTTGATTCCATACATATTCTGAGAGAAAGGAGCAACAGGTTGTTATCTTGTAGAGCAGAAAATAATTGAACCAACGGCAAAAGAGAAGCACAGGACTCTACACTCCTATAGATGTATTTTTTAAACAGAATTTGCACTAATTTTACTGCACATGAATCTGATTTGATTTTGCTTGAATTACTTCAAGCAAAATGTACTTAAATACAACAAATAACACATCTCATTGCACTGAATGTAACTTGGCTCAGATTTCACATGTCCTGATCTGTCTGTCAACAAGTCAAAACATTATGAAGGGTGTTACATATTACAGTGGAACTTGATTGCCTGAGTTTTGTAGCTATCAGGTAGCCAGTTTATCTAACCGATCAGCAGGTTTAGACTTGTAAAATTTAAAACATTATATAATAAACAGCAGGTTTGAAATTACCACCAGCTACTTGCCGATAGTTTTTTTTGTGCTATATTGGCTAAAGGAATCTGTGGCAACCTTGCAGCACCTCCTAGTGCTGACCAGAGGCTATTGCAGCAGAACATGCTGGTTTGTGATCATTAGGTTTGATAAATTGTTCCCTTTTCATTCCCTAAATGTGTACACTCTTTCAAACATCATTTAAATGTCTAGTGTGTAGTTTTTACAAGCATCTTGCAGTGAGTCCGCAGACTGCAACCAACTGAAAACTCTCCTGTGCGCCAAGTGTGTAGAACTACAGTGGATGACACAAAAACACAAATGGCCCTATTTAGAGCCAGTGTTTTATTTGTCCTTTCTTGGCTATTGTAGACACAACATCAGGGACACTGTGGATGAGGACCCGCTCCGTGTGTAGATATAAACGGCTCATTCTAAGGTAACAAAAACAAAATGATTTGTAGTTTCAGGTGATTATACACTAATGGAAACATGGTTATGAATATTATATCCATTTCTGCCATAATATCCCCCTAAATCCTACACACTGGACCTTTAAGGTCAGTTGTAAGGTTCAAGTGTTGGATGGAAGAGGTGGTGAGACAGCTGGTGAATATGAAATGTTGAAGTGTTTGGAGATAAAACTGTTTCCTGACAAACACCATAAGCAGAGGATATTTGTGAGATGAGAGCAAGGCTGGTAAATTATGGTCAGAATTCACAAAGTAACTAACAATCACTACAGTATTCAGTATTTGTTGGTAACATTACTGAAGCAAAGTACTGATTGTACTTTGAATGTAAATAAGGTTTCAGGGTGCAAAAAAGGTGTTAAAATAGAGCTTGTTTATAAAAAATAAAGTGCTAGGAGAGACTCCCCCAGAACTCCCAACAGTCTGGGCTGCTTCCAGGCAAAGCAAGTTGAATGTCCCTGATCTAGCGTCTAAACTGTTTACTACTTTTTATCCCTCATTTTGATTATCACAAACCAGAGTTCCTCACTGGATACAATGCCTACTCTGCTAGTTCATATCTTGAATTACATATTGCACATCCAGTGCAAGATTAGCAGTTTCTACAGCCACTTGCAATGCATTGAGTTTAGCTGTGAAGGAGTCGAGCACACGTGGCTGCACAGTATTGAGTCCAGACAGAGGTGCAGGTGAGAACTGTGGGTATGTAGTGTTTAAATAAGTCCACTTCTGATATGGGTGACTTTCTATCAATCCACAGCCACAAAACCCCAAACTATCCTTTGTGTGTTCCTTCATGACATCTGCAGGGTGAGTCCAGTGGTGAGCATGAGTCAGATCCATTAAAGAATTCCCACTGTCGTGCTCCAGCGCCGTGGCCACAGACTCCAAAGAGCGGCAGAATCCCTCCACGCCATGAAGGTACTCGGTCTGTGAGCACCCAAGTGCTGATGCTGCATCTGTGACTTTGTTCATGCTCTAACATGTAAATATAGCATAATTAAAACATGTTGTAATGAGCCTGCAGTGAAGATATGGGAAATCAATCAAACTGTGACTGGTTTAAGACTTAATATTGGATCTCACCTTGTGTCTGACATAAGCAGCTAAGTGGGTCTCAGTGCACCCACCTCCAAGTAAGGCAGATGGCTCCCTCAGGGTGAGCCTCAACACGTGCTCTGTCTTCTGGTATACAACCTTTAACAGACGCATATTAACACATCAGTTCATCTGTCACACTTGCCTCCCATTAAGACAAATTCCAAACTGATCACTGTGTAAAAGCCGTTTTTATGTGTTTTAAAATATGTTCCTGCGATGGCAACTGATGGATGCTTTTAACAAAAGTGCTGTAGAAGAACTGAATCACTCCCACTGGCCGTGTTAGTGAAACACTATATACCAATTCAGCTTTATGGGGCTGTATATTATCCATCGTTTTTCTGCTTAGTATGTAGTGGAGAATGTGAATCTTAGTGGGAGGGAGATCCATCTGATTTGGAGTGAATCTGTGATTAACAGGCACACAGTTTGCAATTTTTATTCTACTGGTGACCAAAATAGTGTCACATCCATCTAGATGATGTCTCTCTCTCTTAAACTCCAGAAGCCAACAGTGCAGTCCCCAAACTCCTCACTGTATCTTACCTTCAACTCACTTAACATGGTCTCGTTCCTGTGGCAGAGGATCATCGTGCAGATCGCCGAATTCTCAGGTGGGTGGAAATGCAGCATTGTCTTGGATCCAAACTCCCTAATACTGAGTTCCCTCACCATCCCATAGGCCTTGGCTGGGATTGTGGTGTGTAATGTGGCTACAGGTTGAGCACCTATCAGTGAAAGTGGACAGAAGTTAAAGTGGACCTCACACAGTGCAAAGACACTACGTTTTATACACGTGTCTCTGTAATTCAGTATGAAGTCTTTGGAAACTTCGATTAATTGAGAAAACAATCAACAGGTTATTAACAGTGAAATAATTGTTAGTTGCAGCCCAGATTTCGAGGCCTACCTGTCAGCTGACTCAGTGGCTCCATGAGATTGATTCCCAGTCTCTCTATCACTGTGATACCTCGACTCCTCAGGTATTGCTGCAGGACTGGGTGTATGACCTTCTGGCATACAAAGAGCTTTACCTCATCTTTAACCACCTGTTTGCCCACCTCCAGGAGCTGATCCAGGATCTGTGAGTCTGTGTCTACACCTGGGTGCACCTCAATCATCCCATCACCGAGTTCAGAAAGATCTCCAGCAAGAGATGCACTGAACAACACCATGCACAGTGGATTTGAGTGCAGGTTCTCTGCCTTGTTGAGGCAAAATACATCAGGCATGTCTACCAGTAAACCTGGAAACACTGCAGAGTTCAACACAGGAAGACCTTCAACAGAGACGGTCACTATTTTGCCAAGACTGACTATACCTGGGCTGTTACAAGGAACAGTCAGCAAAAAAGCTTGCACAGCCAACCTGCTGATGTGAAATGCCTCTGGCTCTGTTAGCACACATGCTGGTTTACTGGAAATAACACTGCGAGCTAATGTGATCAAGCTCTGGCTGCTGCAGAAGTCGAGCTTCACTTTGCAGCCACAGTCTTCCTGTTGCAGGTAACTGATGCACAGACCCAGCAGGTGCTTGTTCACTCTGATAGCCACATTTCTTCTGACACCAGACTGCTTTGCTTGCTCAATTAGAGACAAACAAAGAATGGCAGCAAACAAACCGCAGTCACTAAAACGTGAAACGTGGTTGACAATGGAGGTTTTTATCAGATTGATAAAAGGCTGTGAGGAGGAAATGGCTGAAAGGAGAACTGAGGAAGTTGAGGTCGTTACAACGTGCCCTCCAATGTTGTTATGAACTTGTTTGAGTCTACCTGTCGGACCAAAACAAGACCTCAGAAGCTGCTTCAGCAAATTAAGCTTGTTACAGATGTCGGTGTTGTCCAGTGGTAGATCCGTACAAACAGATGGGGATTTCTTGACGAGTCGAGACATCACTTAGGCAGCAAGTTTCACCCCAAAACCATTGTCAACAGTCAGACAGAGGTCGTTTGACGTAAAACAGTGAGTTTGCTTTTTGAGTGGCGACGGTACGACGAGCCGTTAACGACTAAGGTGTCATTTTAGACTTTCAGTTGAGCGAAATTTGATAGAAAACTCTTCTTTGCGGCTTCCTTGTTAATCTCCTCTGCTCGCTATGACTCGACTAGAGAGACTTATTGCATTGCCTGACGAAAATTAAACAAATTTGGATACATTCTTTATGTAGCACACTTGAACAGATCAAATTATTTTTGACTTTACATTATAGTGGCTATCGTATGATAAAAAAATATTATTCAGATACAATATGACGACACATATTTTCGAGATTAATACAGGCATTTCCAATATGCAACTCGTTTCCATCGCAACGCTCGGAGCGTTGGGTCCTATGGGGTCCTAATCGAAAAATAGTCGCGTTCTCGTGCCAGTTTTCAGAAATGTCTTCTGTCACGACAGATAACCGACTTAAAACTCCATAACTCCACTTCCACGCTTTATAACAGAGGTGGACACTCGCTTCGCTACCTTTTTAATTTTGTTCGCGGTATCTTTGTGCTCAAATTCATCCGCTGAAAGCTCCGACTCATACTGGCTCTGCAGCCGCTGGACTACAAACTAAACATGACGTCATCTTCTACAGCCTCGTCGTTCATTCAAAACTGTTGGCGGTATGAAAGTTAATCATGTTAATGTACTTACATGTTGTTTTATCGACCAAATTTGCTTTTTACACGTTTGTAGCGTCATTAATGAGCCATTTGACAATACAGGCTTAACGTAAGGGTCATTGTGTCGTTTCTTAACAATTAACTTTCGTCTTTTGAGCCCAGTTGTTAGATCAGTTGAACTGACAACAACACAACGTTACTGTCTATACACCCTTACGTTTGACTAGCTAAACTCTGATTAATGTTATTCTATGGCTAAC